TAAGGAAGACAGATTTGGAATCAGCGTTTAGTGCTCTACACAGTGATATACGTGTCATTTGGAAAGGTCACTTCGACTGAACACGATTTCCTTGTTGCTGATTGAGCAGCCTGATTGGGGACCTACGCAAGAGAAGAATACGTTAGCATCGCGAGCAGGAGCATACTAAAACCGCCTGATGACGTGAATCTCGCACTTGACAAATGCATGAAAAGCCATTCTTTTCAATTTTAGTAATTTTAATCTTCGAGTATAATTTTCGCACTTGTATGTACTTTTACCTACACGTACACGCTAATGAAGTCAGACCGAGGACACTAGAAAGGTGAAATGTGTCGGAAGTTAATCTGTACGGTTACTGTGTCCAATATTTCCAAACAGACGACCTCAAATTGTCCATACAGTTGCGTTTTATCTTGCGAAAGAGTGCCAATAGTTTAGTGTTGCAAATGTTAAATATTCTACTTTTGCTTTTGCAACAATTGCAGCTTTTCTACAAAAAGCATTGCGCCGCTTCCGTGTATCTCCCCGAGACTGACTGGATGCTTGTGCTAGATGCTGACACAGGTGAGGGAAACGTCTATTAGGTCTAATGGCCTCCGCCACTCTTGTTTTTGCTATTATACTGTGAACACCGAAAACTTTCCTCGGCAAATGGTGACATGGGCTCCGCCCAAAGCAAATCAGTGCAGATCTGATAATTGTTTTCCATTCATTCTTACTCTTTGGTGCAGGATGAAAGTCATATTGCTAAATTTTGAGAATTTACAGGTGTCGTTAATCCTAATCACTGCATTGAGGAGTGGATAGACGACCGAGTCGATATGCTATTTTATGAGCGCGTTTTTAATTGGGAGATTGCAAGCGGAAATTACTTGGTAAGTACATCCAACCCCTTTTGATAATAGAATATCAGAGTAAGTGATTATAGGTGAAAAATACAGAGTTTGGCAGGAACTTCCTCGAAACTTGGGGCAAATGGGAATTTCACCAGCCATACAGCTGGAACGGTGTTGATAATGGTGTTCTGCAGGTATATAGCGGTGCTTTTAACAAATTCTATCTTGCGTCCTTGTGCATTATTAGAGCTGACGGGAGGTTTATGGTATTTCCTAGTCATAGTGTAGGCAAAAACTTCCAAAATGTGACAGAGACTCTTCGAGTTCATCACTGAATACAGGGCGTCTCTAAAGTGAGTACACACTTTTTAATTGTTGTTAACTTCTTCCCACTAAGTCTTTTCCCTAGCACTAACAAGGAAATGATACTTGGTGACCCCGGCCAATTGGAATG